TACAAAAGAACACAGAAAGTGCAGGAGAAACTCAGCAGGTCTGGCAGGATCTGTGGAGAGAAAAGCAGAGAATACATTTCAAGTCTGTGACCTCTCACCAGGCCATACTATTTTCTTCCAATTGCCCTGCTGTGACCAGCAATCCCATGGGATAAGGTCAACCCAAAAACAGAGAAAGTGCGACTGAATCTGCCATTCCTGCTGCGGATATATACTTCAATGCTGTTAGTTATAGCAATAGTCATTAGAATGAACAGGAAAACATGGGAAATCTGCCAGTTTGATGAGATTTTAAAATTTCCAGCTCAGAAGACTGGTGTATGGTCTGAGAAAGGAGGCTTCTTAATCTCATCTATTTAATCACATCCTTGCAGAATGACAAAGCTACCATGTCCCAGTATCGAGGGGTACATTATCAATCTGGAAAGGAATGTGCTTTGGAGTTGGCCTTAATGTTGCTGAGCCTGCATGTTGTAGGTTGTATATGCCTAGGACCATGCAGAAATAACAGTAGTTTGTGTGTGTGTTAGAGTGTTTTTAAGTGTCTGTTTCGTGTTTACAGCTTCCATCTCCAGCAAGCTCTAAATTATGAGATAACAAGGTGTAGAGCTGGATGAACACAGCAGGCCAAGCAGCATCAGAGGAGCAGGAAAGCTGACGTTTCGGGTCTAGACCCTTCTTCAGAAATTGGAAGGGGAAGGGGTTTCTGAAATAAACAGGGAGAGAGGGGGAGGCAGATAGAAGATGGATAAAGGAGAAGATAGGTGGAGAGGAGACAGATAGGTCAAAGAGGCGGGAATGGAGCCAGTAAAGGTGAGTGTAGGTGGGGAGTTAGGGAGGGGATAGGTCAGTCCAGGGAGGATGGACAGGTCAAAGAGGCGGGATGAGGCTAGTAGGTCGAATATGGGAGTGGGGTTTGAGGTGGGAGGAGTGGATAGGTGGGAGGAAGTACAGGTTAGGGAGGTGGGGATGAGCTGGGCTGGTTTTGGGATGCGGTCGGGGGAGGGGAGATTTTGAAGCTTGCGAAATCCGCATTGATACCACTGGGCTGCAGGGTTCCCAAGTGAAATATGAGTTGCTGTTCCTGCAACCTGCGGGTGGCATCGTCGTGGCACTGCAGGAGGCCCAGGATGGACATGTCGTCCAAGGAGTGGGAGGGGGAGTTGAAATGGTTCGCGACTGGGAGGTGCAGTCGTTTGTCGCGAACCGAGCACAGGTGTTCCACAAAGCGGTCCGCAAGCCTCCGTTTGGTTTCCCCGATGTGGAGGAGGCCACATCGGCAACAGCGGATACAGTATACCACATTAGCAGATGTGCAGGTGAACATCTGTTTGATGTGGGAGGTTTCCTTGGGGCCTGGGATGGGGGTGAGGGGGGAGGTGTAGGGGCAGGTGTAACACTTCCTGCGGTTGCAGGGAAAAGTGCTGGGTGTGGTGGGGCTGGAGGGGAGTGTGGAGCGGACGAGGGAGTCACGGAGAGAGTGGGCCCTCCGGAAAGCAGATAAGGGTGGGGAGGGAAAAATGTCTTCAGTAGTGGAGTCAGATTGCAGATGACGGAAGTGCCGGAGGATGATGCGTTGGATCCGGAGGTTGGTGGGGTGGTACGTGAGGACGAGGGAGATTCTGTTTTGGTTGGTATTCTCCTTCAATTCCTCCCACTTCCTACAGACAAAGGGAGTGGCCATGGTTGCCCACATGGGCCCAAGCTATGCCTGCCTCTTTGTAGGCTATGTGGAACAATCCCTCTTCCAAAGCTACACTGGCCATATTCCCCACCTCTTCCTCTGTTACATCGATGACTCTATCGGCACCGCCTCGTGCTCCCATGAGGAGCTTGACCAGTTCATCCACTTCACTAACACCTTCCACCCCAACCTTAAGTTTACCTGGACTATCTCTGATACCTCTCTGTCCTTCCTGGACCTCTCTGTTTCCATCTCTGGCAACCACTTGGAAATCGATATCCATTTCAAGCCTACCGAGCTACCTAGAATACACCTCCTCTCACCCACCTTCCTGCAAAAATGCCATCCCCTATTCCCATTCCTTCGCCTCTGCTGCATCTGCTCCCGAGATGAGGCATTCGAATCCTGACATCCCAGATGTCCTCGTTTTTCAAGGACTGCAACTTCCTTCCCACAGTGGTCGAAAACGCTCTCAACCGGGTCTCTCGCATTTCCCGCAACTCATCCCTCACACCGCACCACCTCCCCACCACCACCCCACCCCCACCCCCACCCCGGCAATAACAACCAAAACAGAATCCCCCTCATCCTCACGTACCACCCCGCCAACCTCCAGATCCAACGCATCATCCTCCGACACTTCCGCCATCTGCAATCTGACCCGACCACCAAAGACATTTTTCCCTCCCCACCCTTATCTGCTTTCCGGAGGGACCACTCTCTCTGGGACTCCCTTGTCTGCTCCACACTCCCCACCAGCCCTACCACCCCCAGCACTTTTCCCTGCAACCGCAGGAAGTGCTACACCTGCCCCTACACC